GCGCGAGCCTCGGCGCTGCCCCGGAGGGGCGCGCCTGAATGCGCGGGGGCGCCCCCGTCGGGGCCAAGCCGCGCGCTCGCGCGTGCGCCGGGCCCATTTTGCCCCGACCGCGCTGCCCGATGGCCCCCTCGAGTTCAAGGGTCGGCCACCATTTGTGCGACTGACGCTGCGCGGCGAAGGGCTCTTGCAGGTGCGGGGCCACGACTTGGGTGATCGCATCCTTGTCCACGCCTTCCAAGCGGTCATAGTGCCCCGCGGTGTCCTTGATGAGTTTGTGCTTCCGCTCGAGCACAAAGCAATCGAGCATCAACCCATCCTCCGCCGCCTGCGCAGCTGCGCACTAAAGATAGCGATGCCTAGGCACGACCCGCGCGTCCGTGTAGGCGCGCACGTGCTTCCTGAGCGCCAGCCCGACATGGCGCTTGAAATCGGCCTCGAACGTGCCTAGGCAACAGCCGCGTTTCGCCGCCAAGTAAAGTTCCAGGACGGCATGCATGGGATCAAAGGGCCGCACGTGGGCCTGGAAGAGAGGGCGTCGCGGCAAGCAATCCACATGGAGCCAATTCCTCAGGCGCGGCAGGGCGGCGAGGCAGTCCGACGCGGAGCCGACGAAATGCCCTGCTTCGACGCGGGCTTTCTTCCTGGCTGGGGAGAAGAGATGCAGCGGAGCTTTCCCTCCGCCGCGCCCTGGAGCCCAGCGCTGGAATTCGGTTCGCCACCGATCCCACGCGTCGGGGATCACGCGCGCCACTGCTCTGTACAAGCAGAACACCTCCACCTGAAACGTGCCTCCGCTCGCCAGGGTGATGTGCATCGGGTGACGCGTGCACATGTCCAGCGAGCATACACGTCTGAGTTCCACGTCGGCCATCAGGGACAACTCGTTCACTGTGATGCCGTGCGCAGACTGGAGATTCGCGAACGGCCCTGGGCTCGCCGCACGTTGCAGTTGCACGAGCTCGTCGCGCGCGGTCGCGAACTCCTTGGGGGCGGGCCGTGAGCGGCGACCGCGAACGCCAGCGCCCTCGTGCGCAGCCGCCCCTTTGTGGCGGCGCGCCGAGCGTGAAAGCACGGCGTCGTCGGCCGCGCATTGCCCGCCCCCAGCGCCTCCGCAGTGAACGGGTCGAACCTCGAGGCGTCGACGCAAGCAAGGCCCACCAGGTAACCAGTCGGGCCCCAAAGGCTCAGACTGCCAGACCCTTGGTCGAGCACGACGTTCTTGCAGCTGCAGCAGGGCCGCCAACCGCCAGAGCCCTTGTACGAAAAGGTGTCCTTGCCCGCGCTTTCGTCCATGATCAGCCCGCGGCACTTAAAGTGCAGCCGAGACGCGCCGACGTCGAAAGCGCCGCCCCCAGGCCCGAGGAACAGGCGCCGCAGAACGGCCCTCGCCAAGCCCGCTGTGCTGGCCTGCATCTTTTCCTCTGAGCGAAGGACTCCAAGCGGGAGCCAGGCGCCCTCTTCTTGAAGGTATGTGCCCAGCTCCAAGAAACTGATGTACACGGCAATGGGCGTCCTGCGGTTTGCAGCTTTGAAGATGGTCGTCTTAGATGGGGCACATTAGATGGTCGGCCGTCTTCGCCATGCCACTCCTGTTGTGATGCAGCGCCTGAGCTCGCATCTGCTTCCTCCCCGTCCACCTGTCCACGCGACTCCATTTTCCCCCGATCCTGGCCAGGCGCCTGGCCCTCGACATCCGCTCCCGCCCTGGTCTCGGGCGGGCCTCATCGGACTCATCATCTGATTCGCGCGCCGGTGCCAGGGCGGCCCGGACAGGCCCGGACATCAGCGCTAAGGCCGCCGCCCCATCCATTGAGCCAAAGCGGCTACGTCCGGAACATATGCGGCCACAGAGAGCCAGAGGCCACGGGCCGCACGGACGTCAGGCGAGGGGCCGAGGACAGGGGCCGAGCGGAGCGCCAGGGGCCGGGGGCCACGGCCGAGCGGGCCTATCGCCACAACGGGGGCCGCGGGCAGTGGGCCACGATCTTTACTACGCCTGAAGCGGGCCCTCGCTGCGCAAGGGGGAACCGCGCGTTGCTGAACAAGTCTATCTCAAACAAGTTTCGAGAAACTTCGTTGTATTCACGAAAATACTTCAAACATGTTTGAAGAAACTACTTTATAATCGAATGTACCTGGAGAAAGAAGTTTGGCAAACAATGTAGTTGCGATTTATGTACAGTTGCGGGGTTGACTGACGCGACCCGGTTCTCCGCTCTTGTACCCAACCAAAGGAGGAGGAGGCGGAGGAGAAGGAGGAGGAGGATAAGGAGCAGGAGGAGGATAAGGAGGAGGAGGGGGAGGACGAGGAAAGGGAAGATAATGAGGAGGAGGACGAGAACGATAATGAGGACGAGGACGAGGAGGAGGAACAAGAAGATGAATAGTACTATTAATCGAAATCGGAATCGGAGGAAGAGAAAAAAAAGTGGGAGGAAGAGGGGGAAGAACAGGAGAAGGAGGGGGAGGAAGAGGAACAGGAGGACGAGGAGGAGAAGGATGGGGAAGAAAAGTGGGGGAGGAGGGCGAGGAGGAGGAAGAGGAAGAGGAGGAGGAGGAGGAGAGAAGGATGAGAGATAATGGGAAGAGGGGAAAGGGGGAATGATGTAAGACAGAGGGGCATGATGATGATGATGAGGAGGAAAATGAGGATAATGAGGAGGAGGAGGAGGAAAAACAACAGGACGAGGATAAGTGGAGGAGGAAGGACAGGATGGCCGGTGCTAAACCAATATGCATCAACCGACGCTTCAATACACCCTCCCGTCCCATTTCATAAATCCATACGACTATTCCTTTCTACTGTTGGTCAACCCATGGATGGCGACCAGACAATCAGTCCAACAGTCAGACGCGAGCGCCTGTTGTCAAGGATCCTCCATCCACTTGCAAAACCCCGATAGGCTGCTCCATGGTGAGACGCCTTCCATCCGTCTAAGGCCTGAGCGTTACAAGATGTCAAATTCGCGGTCGTATGCTCCGTTCCGCGGAAGCCCCGCGCGAAAACCCGCCAAGGAGGCCCAAGGATAACCTCATTTTGGAAAATCATGCCCTCGACCCATTTAAACGTTGCAGGTCGTCAAAGTCGTGGGCGCATGCTTCGCGGAGGCTTCACGCGACCCCCTGTTTCCAAAGAGAAGCGGTCCTCCATCCGCGTTAGCTGTTGCACAATCTGGAACGCCAGGTCGTAGAGGTCGAGGAGGAATCATTTGAGCGTAGAAGGTGGACTTGGTATTCGAATGCGCGCGAGGCCAAGAGGGTACCGCAATACGGAGGAGCGCTCGTCAAGGAGTGTGCCCGGGAGGCTGCAGGCCCTGGAGAATTCCTTACCTGATGAAGGCGGCAACGATGCCGATGGCCGATCCACGACTGGAGTCTCACCGGCTTCCAGACCTGGGATTCCTTGTCTACGCGTTCCTTGTCCAGTGCGCCCATCGTTTTGGGAAGGACACGCCTTCCATTCGCGCAGAGCAACACATCGTGGAAGCCGAATATGCACGGCGCCACGGCGAGAGTCCTCATTTGAATCTGGCCAGCCTTCTATCTGTTCCGTTGGTGTGTTAAACGACGGTGTGCGGCGCCGCCAAATCGAGAGCCGCATTGTGAAAACCGCTCGTCCAAGCGTCAGCGCGACCCGAATTCATCTGTTCCTTGAGGCCTCCTGCGGCGACGAGGGCGATGAAGATGAGGGGTGTAGATGCTGTCGCTGCTGGTGGCGACGGCGAGCCTGGGAACGCTTGGAAGGGACTGCAGCATCTGGGAACGCATGGGAGCGTGTTGGAGCGTCTAAGAGCGCCTGGGACAGCCTGGGGGGCGCTTGGGTCCCAAATCGGTATCGGCGAAGGGTACTCGACATGTATCGACCTACTACGAATTAGCTATCGATGGAAAGTTTTGTTCTGCCTTTTGTGCCCAGCGGCTCTTCGGGGCCAAGGGGGCTGGCCGAGGTTGAAGATCAGCGAACGCGTACCGAATCTTACCTTTTACCAAGGATGGTGAGGGTCGGGTCGGATGGATGTGCACCGAATTCGTTTTGTCGCAACAGATGATGAAGGTTTGGTCGAATGGATGTGCACCGTGTAATGTTTATTACATTGGATGGTGGAGGTTGGGTTGTAAGGATGTGCGCAGAAGAAGCCATATTCTGCATAGGATGATAGGGGTCTGGGTCGGATGAACGTGCCCCGAATAGTGTTGGTCTCGTGGACTGGTGGGGGTTGGGTTGTATGGGGTCTGCGCCGAATAATGGCTTTGTACATCGGACGGTGAGGGCTGGATCGTCTGGATGTGAGCAGGCTTGCGGTTGTTCATCGGATGGTGAGGGTTGGGCGGGATGGATGCGCAGAGGATTTCATTTTTCTTGCGCCGAATGATGAGGGTTGTGTCGTATGGATGTGCGCGGTGCGAAAGCGAGAGTCGCATTTTGAACAAGAACGGGCGTCCATCATTGGAATTGCATCCGTCTTTTGAACAATTGCGCGCGGCGCTAGGGCAAGGGCCAATTCTTGAAACCGAATTGGCATGCATCCTTCAAAGCGTTGCAAGTCTCAAAGGCGAACATGCGCAGAGATGAGGCGAGAGCCAGATTTTCAAAACCAGCAGGGCTCCATCCTTGAAGCTGTTGCAGATTCCAAGCTTCAGGATCAGAATTGGCGAAGAAGTCTCAGGCGAAACACCCAG